CAGACTGACAATGTGAGCTTCAATCCAGTCAACTTTACCCCAGTCCAAACTTGGAACACTCCTGAGGCCTGGAAAAAGAATGTTGTGTTTCCTGTTTCCCGACCGACCCTAGAAAAAAATATGGTTGGGATATTTACATTTCAAACTTCATTTTTTTCTTGTAGACATTAAAACAAACATTGTGTACATTGTACAAGGGTACATACTAGGTAAGTTAATTTTTGGCAGTTTGCAATCAAGATTTGTGAAATAAGCACTGATGTCAACAACAAAAGTTTTTTTTCCACTTTTGTATGACAGGTGTCCGGAGTAACGACCTGCCATGGACGATCGCGAGTTTTGGAGGGCTGTGATCGGGGGAGACGTACAGACCGTGAGGAGGGGTCTTCTGGCCGGGAGGGACGTCAATAAGAGTTTTCCAACATCGGTAACTGCAGCTTTTGTGTGTTTTGCCAACTGGCTTTAGGATGTTAGCGTTTCAATCACTTTTTTCTATGGCAAGGTGGGCCCCGGCTTTCAATGAATATGTCGGCTCTGACCCTTATTAGTGTGCAAAAGTGATTCCAGTTCGGTGATTTTTTGATGACCTACAACAGTGTTTGGGTTTAAGCTTCTGACATTCGTAGTCCCTATGGTAAGCATGATGATTAAAGGTACAAGTAACGCCCTAATAGATAACATTACAGCTTTGTGGGCTAATTTTAAATTCACAACCAAAATAACTGGGGGTGCTTCAGGGCACGTATATGTTCGTAGTTGATGAGTGACTTACTTAACGGTAACGCAAAAACAATCACCTGTCTGGAGTTACACCTAGCGTACCGCTACTAGTGAATTTACATAACATACCACTACTAGTGAATTTACATAACAATCAAGTGGAAATCATGTAACGTATCTCCAATCTACAAAAAGGGTGACCGTACAGATCCCTCCAACTATAGGCCAATCGCATTACTTCCAACTGTTGCCAAGGTACTAGAGCGACTTGTGCACAATCACCTTTACACCCACTTAATGAACAATAACCTGATGAATGTTAATCAGTCAGGATTCAAGAAAGGTGATGGGACAGTCCTACAGCTGCTGCGTCTTGTCGACAATTGGGCCAAATCCATTGATGATCCCAACACATCATGCACAGCGGCAGTCTTTTTAGACGTACGACGTGCGTTCGACACGGTTTGGCATGCAGGCCTAGTCTACAAACTCTCACGTTATGGAGTGACAGGCTCCCTAAACCTGTGGTTTGAAAACTACCTATCCGACCGCAAGCAAAGAGTTGTGATCAATGGTGTAGCATCATCTTGGGGCCTTACACAAGCCGGAGTGCCTCAAGGGAGTATACTGGGCCCACTTTTATTTTTGATTTATATCAATGACATTCAAGACCTCCCATGTACTTCCAACATCAACTGCTTCGCCGATGACACATCACTCTCCAAGTCGGGACCTACTCCCCAGGAGGTAGCCAGTACAGTTAACACCGACCTGCAGATTGTGTCTACTTGGTTCAACGACTGGAGTCTCCAGCTGCACCCCGACAAATGCAAAGTTATTTGCATTAAGTCACCACAGAGCAGAGTGCAGTTTCCCCCTATCTACATCTCGGGGCAGATCGTTGAACAGGTACTCGCCTACACACACTTGGGTCTTACTGTGCACCAGTCCCTATGCTGGACAGAACACGCCCAACTTACCTCCAACAAGGCCAGGAGGACAATGGGACTCCTGTGGAAGCTACGTGGTAAACTCTCCCAAGAAGCCCTGGAACTAGCCTATTTCACGCTTATTCGTCCTAAGCTGGAATATGCTTCCATCCTACTTACCAACATCACTGCTGCGGCATCCAAGATTCTGGAGCGAGTGCAATACCACGCTGGGCGTCTCGTTTCGGGTGCGGCTGCGCGCACACCCTACTCAGAGATCCTCCACAAGCTCAGGTGGGATAGTCTGGCGACCAGGAGGGACTACCATCGGCTAGTTACCATGTACAAACTTGTTAACGGCCCCGTCCCAGCCCACCTCGAGCCACTAATCCCGACTACCCGAGTCGCAAACAGCCAATCCCAGCGACGACTGCGGAACGCTCATCACCTTCACATCCCCCGGTGCAGAACAAACGTCTACAGAGACAGTTTCCTCTTGTACACCTCCCGACTGTGGAACCGCCTACCCAGCGAGGTCACAGGGTCGGCCACCATCTCCATATTCAAGGCCAAATGCAAACACCACCTCTTATCCTGATTACCTTATTATTTAACACCAATTGTAAATAAAAATCCTCCAACCGTTCCATTTCAACTTTGATCATTTTATCGATTTGTATTGTAATTATATTGTATTGCTTAATTAGGTATTGATTGAATTTGTATGTACCTTGTATGTTTATTGCTATTGTAAATATTGAATTGAATTTGTATGTACTAAGTGATATTGTATTTAAGTTATACTGTACTTTGTATTTATGCATTTATGTGTCAGTGGTAGCCGCTACCAGCCTTGTTGCTGCCTGGTTGCCACTTGTCATGCACTGTTGCATTTAAATAAACAAACAAACAAACAAACAATATCATGTTGAGTCGTTCCATGCTTGGGTCGTTCCCTGGTTGCCAGGTTGGGTGTCGGTTACATTGTCATAATGATATGAATGAAAACCAAGCAGATTTCAGAAAGGAAAGACTGGCCGACTAATGAAACGAGAAGTGACGCAATTCTTTACCTCACGTAACCGCTAATAATCTCTTAAAGTTAAAGAGACGTTTCCCATTATATTAGAAATTTGCGTTTCGTCTAACTGACCATGATTCATAGCAGATCGTGAGATACTAGTAAACCGTAATTTTGGTACAGATGTTGGGTTGACATCTAAATAACATTTCAATCATTTGTTTCATCATTGTTGTGTTGAGATGGCAGCATCTGAATGAATTTCAATCGTTCAAGTTTTATGCGCGATTATAAAAAACACAAGTCAGTGTGATTTTCAAGAAGATATTTCAGGAAACTACCCACTGTTTCAGTTAATCAAACATTGTAACCTTTAAGGTAATTTTTCTAAAAATTAAAATTCTACTTTGCTGACCTTGAAGGTCTGTTTGAAACAATCAACGTGCAGCTGAGTTATAGTTTCTCTGTGTGTTTACACAGGATGGCAGGACCGCACTCCATCTGGCCTGCGGGTTCGGGCAGACTGGGGTAGTGGAGCTGCTGATGCAACATGGTGCTGATTTGGAGGCGAGAGACTGGGTAAGTACAGACAATCATCTCATGTACTTAGGATTAGGAACTTATGACTATTGAGAAATATCTACTATCCTGAGAATATGATCTGATTTCTTTACTTGAGGCCCCATTAGCCACGTATGACACTTTTTTTCAACTAAAGTCTATGAAAATTGTGTGAAAATTGTTATGAATCTTATGTATACATATCTATATGTGACAAAGTAATAAAGTTTAGGTTTAAAGTGATGAATAGCCATAGCATTTTCTTAGTTTTTTTATATACTTTGCTTGATATTATATATATTATGATGAACAGTTAATTGTCAAAAACTTTAAAAGCACTTTGCTATTAAACTAAAAATTCTATCTTGCCGTCCTTAAGGGTCTGCTTATCAAAACATGTGCAGCAGCGTTAAAGTTTCTCCGTGTGTTTACACAGGATGGCAGGACCGCACTCCATGGGGCCAGCTGGCTCGGATAGTTAGGATTGAGGGGCAGTTACTGATTGTTGAAAAATGTCTACAATCCTGTGAATATCATCTGATTTCTTGACTTTTTGACCATTGGTAATGGCAGGGGTTCATGTTTGGTAGCTAGGGACTTTATATATATCATGGGTCATTGCTGTCTTTGAATCAATCAACATGCAGCAGAGTTTTTATGTTTTCACAGTGTGGCCAGACCGCACTCCATGAGGCCTGCAGGTTGGGGAGAACTGAGATAGTGGAGCTGCTGATTCAACATGGCGCTGATGTGGAGGCGAGGGACAACGTAAGACAATCATCTCAATGTATTTAAGATTAATTGCAGGGGCTAGTAAAGATAGTTGACACATGTCTACAAACGTACTTTAAAAATGTGTATAGATTGTTGTGTGTTTAGTGTTTATGTGGTTTTATGTCTGTACTATGGGTTTTTCCTGAAATAAAGTCATTCATTCATTCATTCATTCACAAACGTTTGAATGTTCTCTGATCTGTTGGGTTTTAGTGCCCATTAGTCATTAAGCAGGGGGTCAATTGAAAGATTCAGGTTCTCTAGTTTAATGATTGGTGCTGCTGCAATGCAATTGCAGCATTCCCTTAACTTCTGCCAAGCGAGACAAGGCATCCAGAATGTTTTATATATACTGTATATATAAACTGAGAAGATAGTTACGCACAGTCCTCTAAGCTATTTCTAATTGCATGTGGAGGGAATATCTAATCTCCAAGCAGATCTTTTGGTTGGGTGGCAAAAGACCGTATCCATTGGCCACCCTGTATCCATTGGCCGTCCTGTATCCATTTCCCAACCGAAGGTGGCTAATAGGCATTCCTCTGGCCAATGGATACTGTCTTGCCACCGAAATATCTGCTTGGAGATTAGGAATATCTTGTTACCTGCTATCACATAACATAATATGTAATTAAGGCCTTAAAATTTGGTCGGTTTACGTTCCCCTATGCTCTGTTCCTCCATGCAGAAGTTAATCTAAATTTAACACCGCCTTTCATGAACACCAAGGTAGCAATCATAGGAACAAAAATATCAAAAAAGTATATGTATATTGCAGGGATCTCCCCAGAAATTTAGGACAGAATGGAGGAGGGTGCGAAATATTGGTAAATTTGACCAAAGAACCCTGGAAAAGGGTGTAAAAACACTAGTTTTGAAAATTAACAGGGTGGAGCTGAGATAAGGACTGGGTGGAGGAGCTCCACTGCTCCATTGTTTAGGGAGGTCCCTGTATTGTACTACGTTATATAATTAGTCTCTATTCCCCTACACAGCTTGGTAGAAAACCACTGGACGTGGATGACCAGGGCTACCGGCGTTTCCTAAAGGTTAGTAAATTGTTGCTTATAGTGATGTTCATCACAAAATGTTTAGCATTAATTTTTCTTCATCACGTTGTCAACCACATTTATAGTTTGAAAGCCTATATATATAGTACAGGAAATTCTTCTCTTAGGTCTTGACATCATAATAGAATCGTTTGTTTCACGATTATGGGGTGCCTATTCTGGTTTTGCTTAATGAAACTGAGCCTGAAACTCATATCTGGGAAAGGCTCAGTATATCCGGAAGATAACTGTTTACATTGATCATCCAGAACCTGGCTGTTGAGGTTCCCTACCGCAAACTGATGAAACAGTCCGGTGGGGTGAAAGTCAACAGGTTTAAACTGTGCTTCTGTGGACCACAGGAAGCTGGCAAATCTACTCTGGTGCAAAGTCTTGAAACGGTACGAACCTATACTAGAATTTACTCTATTTAGAACAATTCTACCTTTTAAACGATATTAGACATCCATAGCACAGAGGTACGGTTTGCATTTACCATGAAAAGTGTATATTTATCTACACAATGCATTATTGTGCCATTGTCAGTTGGTGGCCACAATGTGAAAACTGTTTCTCATCTATGTGCAGTCCTGTGCAAGTGATTGAAGGCTGTATGACGAATAACGTTTGGGCAAGACCAGAAGTAATGAATACAGTGGTGTACAGAAAGTGCGACATGGAACGAAATGGACGAAATGGAACGAAATGGAACAAAATGAAACTAAATATGTATGAAGTACGTTGGAACAGCGACGTTAGTGCGTTTTTGCTATCTATTTCATTTCATTGTGCACATGTAAGGGACGCGGCTGGTGATAAAATTCCTCCCCATGGGCATACCGCTAGGGCAGACAGAGACCACAAAGAAGCACACTTTGACTGCTCACCTCAAAACTCAATTAATTGTTTTTATAACGTACCTTATAACGTTGTGGTCACTTAATTCTTAACGTACCCTGATCCATCTTATAACGTTGTGGTCACTTTATTCTTAACGTACCCTGATCCATCTTATAACGTTGCGGGCACTTTATTATTAACGTACCCTGGTCGATCTTATAACGTTGCGGTTCTAAGAATACCATCTATCTTAACGTTGCCATTTGGACGTCGAGCAGACACTAGCATCGCCGTTCCCACGCTCAAATGGCTTAACGGCTTTCCTTCATACATATTTCGTTTCAATTCGTTCCATTTCGTTCCATTTCGCACTTTCTGGGAGCTTGGTACAGATAAATCTGGACCATTATTTTATTGCACTAATTAACCGTTCACTGATATCCAAAAGCTCTTCCAGTTTTGAATTTTCCTCCATCAATTTTATGATCATCTAGAGACCTTTCACTGCCTTCTTCCGGGATCGGATGACTCCAGACAATCGGCCACACGAGCCCACCCCAGGTGTGAATGTGGGAACAACCAACATTCCCGGTGTGGGGCAGGTCAGTGTGTGGGACTTCGCTGGACAGTCGGAGTACGCGGTAACCCACAGCATGTTCATGGATGCAGAGAACACCATCTTCATTGTGCTGTACAACATCATGGATGATATCCACACACAGAAGAAAAAGGTGACCAAACGTGTATCATGATCTTCTACATAGGTAATCATGACTAAGATTTAGCCTCCTTGCTCAGATAAAACTGATATAATCAATCTCAATTGATTTCAATAATAACTGACACCTCAATGCTTGTTACAGGTCCACTGGTGGCTGTGCTTCATCAAGTCTTGCAACACAAAGACAAAGACTGAACCTAACATTATCCTAGTGGCCAGTCATGCAGACCAGACTGATACAGGTTTGTTATATTACATTATGATATGTGTACTCACCTGATATCTGATTTGAAACGTACTCTGAGAGACAAGTTGAATTTCGAGAGGCTTGGCCCATCCCGCTTTTACAGTGTATGGGCTCATGGTTTCTCTTGGGTGGATATAGATGTCTCTCATTGTACAGTACACTTGTAAATATTGTTGAAAATCCAAAAAAATGATAAAATTTGAAAACCCATAAAAATGTAGTATAGTGTATTTGATCTAGATTCGTCCTGTGGAGAATGTATTAGAGATATAGTCAGCCAATGTGAACGGTGTGTACCTGCATTGTGCAAATTGATGAACCAGTATGATACGTATGGTACATACCATACTTAAAAAAGAGTACTCACTACTACTAAGACTGTCTACTACTAACTACGTATCTATAGAGAAGAGTTCTTAAAGCCACTTTAAACCAAATAAAGTTTTGGCTTTAGTTGGTTTAGTGGTTTAAGTTGTTGCTTGTCTCCACCAGGACATCGACAAGCATCTTCCATCCTTGAGCTGATGGCGTCAGAGTTCCAGGGTCATCTAAACATCTCCGAGGAAGTGTTCCTGCTTGACTGCCGGAAGACTTGTAAAACTGACATGAGGCGTCTTAAAGACCTTTTGACAAAACTGAAGACGCAGCTTTTTGCAGTGAGTTGTGTCCTCTTAAAAGAGGCTACTAATCATCTGGCAACAGAATTAATTGTCTTATTTTTCTGTAAACACGCCTAATGTAGTTACATAGACTAGACGCACAGTGTATGTACATTGCTGCAGATAAACATTCACTGCAGTACGAAAGATGGTGTAAGTTGAATTCAACACCCTGAACGCACAGCAAATGTACCCGGAAAATCATCCAATGGTGGTCACAGCCCTGGCTCCTGCTCTATTTCCCTGTGTAGCATCAGCGAGACATGCCTAAGCTGTGTGCCGATATCATCAAGTGTCTACCAAGATGGGCTGAGGAGAAGTGCAGCCCGAAGTGTCCTGTCTTGAGATGGGCAGAGTACAAGGAGGCAGTGATGGAGATGATGGGGGTTGACCAGCTGGCTGGTGAAGACTTTCTCAAGGCATCTTCAAGGTACTTGGATCACCTTGGGGAGGTAAATTTTCAACTTATCTTGAGCTTGCTGAATATCATAATTATGTAATTCGCATTTGCTCATGGGTAAAGCTTCAACCAGTTTATCAGACGACATATATTAGGTAATCATTTGTAGTCAATCGATGTTACTATCAAATAACTTACAGTCTTACTGAAGAATTGAAACAACGCAACAGTTGTTATCAAGTTTAGATCATAAGACTCGTCACTCGTCTCCCATGCAAATCTTTTTATATTGTTCCAGATCTTGTTCGTCCCCACACCAAATGCTGACCCCATCATTGTCCTGAAGCCCAACTGGCTCTGCACGGATGTCTTCGGCAAAGTGATGGCTCCAGAGAACTTCCCCACCCAACATCTAAGAACCATCGACGATGTTGTGACAAAAGAGGAAATCCAGAGGGTGTTCAAAGATGTCGCCGATGTGGATCTCCTGATCACCCTGCTGCAAGAGTTCCAGCTCTGCCACACCTTTGACGGACAGGAGTTCATCATCCCCGGGCTGCTGACACAGACCATGCCTCCAGAGAAGTGGCAGCCGACTGCAAACCCCACCAAGACCGTCTACTTCGGCAAGCAAGTCCAGTGTGCCGACACCACCGACATGTTCTCCTCCGCGTTCTTCCCCCGTGTGCAGACCCGCCTGATGAGGGAACTGAAGAACCGCCCGCTGCTGTGGAGAGACGGAGCCAAGTGTTCCGACATCAACGTGGAAGGTCTCATCAAGCTCTCCCCAGACGGCCGTGCGGTCAACATCTGCGTGCGAAGCGAGCAGGGCGACAAGCCGAGCTGCCGGCAGATGCTGGAGACGATGGAGAACATCCTGACCAACGTGCTCGACGAGTGCAGCCCAGGCACCAACACCGAGAAGAGGGTGCTCAGCGCTCGTGCACTGAGGGAACACAGAGAGGAGGTCTACTCCTACAGCATGGATCAGATCGACAAGGCCAAAGCAGAGGACGGCTTCGTCTATCACGACATCCTCGGCTTCACAGAAGACGTCGATGACCTCCTGTACGGCGGAAGAGACGACAATGAAGAGGAGCAAGGAGCTGTTGGAAACACGGTCCATCAGAATTTCCAACAGACGTTCCAAGAGACGTACGTGTACGGGACTGGTAACTATGTTATCAGTTCAGGTGATCATGCTCACTTCGACATGGCAAGAATCAAGCAAGGTGACCTTGGACAGCTACAGTTGGAAGGGAATGACCCAGGTGACCTTGGACAGCTACAGTTGGAAGGGAACGACCCTGGTGACCTTGGACAGCAACAGTTGGAAGGGAACGGCCTCGGTGACCTTGGACAGCAACAGTAGGAAGGGAAGGACCCCGGTGACCTTGGACAGCAACAGTAGAAAGAGAATGACCCCGGTGACCTTGGACAGAAACAGTTGGAAGGGAATGACCCCGGTGACCTTGGACAGCAACAGTAGGAAGGGAATGTCCCTGGCGACCTTGGACAGTGGATAGCTACAGTTGGATGGTGACCTGTGACAGCAACAGTTGGAAGGGAATGACCCTAGTGACTTGGACAGCCACAAATCAAGGGAAATGTGCCTGAGGATGAAATCCTGGAATGAGACATTTCTAAGCTGTAAATATATTTCTCAATGATGAACAGATGTATATTTTTATTAGTGTGACAAAATTTTATACAATGATGTTCAGATCTCCAGTTGTAGTGTTAAGTGCCATTATGAGGTCAATAATTCTGTCTCTGTGTATTCAATCTGAATATTGAAAACCTTGGTGAAACAGAGCCTGATCTTAAGCCAAGCTGAATCATTTAGCACTCTCTATCATACAATTAACTATATCTGGTAAAATGTCGGATCCTTGTAAACAAGAGGCAAAGATGACCACACAACCATTTGCTGTGTACAATTATGCTTTAACTACTGTAGCATTCCAAGTGTAATTGTGCGCATTTATGTAGTCTCCAAAGTACAGAGTCTGAGGGTTTTTACAATTTACATGAAACATTGCTCCATATTGAGAAGGGAATCCCACTTTTTCCATTCTGCCTCTTCCCATTCCTGCAGTACTCTTTTTGGTGTTAGACTACAAAAGAAACTGC